TGCTGCTGTTGATTCTGATAATGCTGCTGTCACTACTCCCATAAGCATTGTGCTGGACACCTAAGGTTGGTCCCTGATTTGCTGATGCCAGTAAAGGAAAAGAAGAAACATAGGGATAGCAATGAGAAGAAGCCCCTACCAGGAAGCTACCCCAGGGCAGTGGTGGTGAACCTTTTGGAGCTTTTAATGATAAAAACAGCCATAGGTGCTATACACATGTGCCATAGGTTCGCTACCACTGCCTTAGGGCATTTGGAGCAGCCTTCCATGGTGGCCCCAATGAAGAGCTGGAGGAGGTAAGGCTCTCAGGAGGGTAGCAGGCAAGAAGACCAGTGAAATCTGCACTGGGGGACAGCACAGGCTAGGAGTAAGGAGTGACCTGGCCACAGGAGGGAGAAGAACAAGTAATTGCATAGTCTCCTCTACCTTCCCCAGGAGTTCAAAAGCAAATAAGACTAGGCACACTTTACAAGAGTATTCTTTTAATTGCTAAATAAATTGTTCCGGTTGTTTATGTGTATGCTGTCTGAGATCTAGGAGCCCAGCCCCAGCTAGCTGACTTCCCTGCACCCTGAAAACACTGTGAAAGGTCAAAGGCAAACAAGCAAAAAGGATAGACTGAAGGCAAATTGGAGGGAATTTTTTTCCTCTTTTTTTTTTCAGTGTCTGAAAGTACTGGTCTCTAAAGTCTATTTCAAACAAAAAGAGCAGACAGTTCCAGCCTCTAAATACTACTGGCAGGGAAGAGCTACCCTTTTAGAAAGAGAAAGCATACCACCCACCACACACAACTCTCAGCAACATTTTTTGCCTGCAGCATTCAAAACGATTCCTTTGTGTTTGCCAAGAGGAGCCTGCAAAGGTGAAATCATTTCTGTGCTGGGCTTCTGAGGGAGGTAGCTGCCATTAAGAACTGCTGGGCCCTACTGCCCCCTCTGAGTGTTTTCAGGCAGCAGCTGTTTGTATTCACCTTTCATTACCTTGAAGCCAGGAGAGAGGAGACTTCATTTTCATGCTCCGGAGTCACTGCCATTCTCCTCCCACCCCGTGCTCTCTGGAGCCCTCTCCCCAAACAACAAAATGCCCTGCTTAGCTCTGAGCTACAGGAATCCAGTCACCTAGAAGGGAGACTTTATGAGCTTTCTGGGGGCTCTGGTCGGATGGAAGGGATTAAATTGAGGTGTGCTTTATGTCTTTTGTACTTTACTCTCCTGCCACCTTATGAGTAGCCAATTCCCCACCTTGGACAGATCTGCTTGTTCCTCTTGGTGGGTTCTGTTTTTCTTTCCTCCCCTGTGGTTTTTCAAGAGGTGGAGAGAGGATGCAGTAAAACTTCATTTCAGATGCATCATAAAACTCAGACAGGCTGGCCTGTGGCAGCTTCAAGCAGGTGGGGTGTACTCTGCTGTGGCAGCAGTTACCCTGTGGGAGGTGTGAATGTGGATAGGTTTCCAGCGATTCTGTCACTGCTTGCTGGGACTACAGCACAGGGACACAGCCCCATCCCACCTTGTCTAGGATTAGCATGTCTCATTGTCAGGACACTCAAACTCCATGGTACAGTTAATCATAACACAGAATATTCTCAAAAATAGCTTTCCAGTCACTTAAATTTTTCTTTACCATAGTTTCATATCATACAATCTAACTGAAGAATAATTTATAGCTAAGGTCCTGCATTCCATGGACCAACCAGACCATAGCCCTCTCGTAGTTTTCACACAGGACCAAGCAAGTCAGTCACAATAGATGAAATAAAAATGGGCAATAGATGCACATTCTTGCCAGTAATCAAAGTAAAGCAAGCATGAGCAGCAGTAAGATATCATCTTCATTTAAAAGATTCACAGAGTTTGAAAAAAATTAACTACTAGATAGGCAATAGTGTGGCAGACCAATAATTCATAAGTATTGTCCTACTAATAGCCATAGAAACTGGTAAGTTCCTGATACAAGTGGTGCCTTGGTTTATGAGCTCAATTCTCTCCACCATTCTGGTCACAAACCAAACTAGATGAGAACCAAATCAAATTTCTCCACAAAGTCAACATTGAACCTTACCATTAAATTTGATTTGGTTCTCATCCAACTTGGTTTGTACCAGAATCGTGGAAAGAATCAGGTTCATGAACCAAGGTACCACTATAGTTTGATAACCACAGAAAAACTGACACATACATAGGACTCATTAATATCAATTCAGGAATACATCCTAAGGAGATAATTAAACAAGTTAAAAAATCTGGATGTAAAAAGATGTTCATTAAATTTTTTTCATGATAGCAAGTAGAAAAAATCTAAATGACCTAAATTGAGGAATGCATACATGGATTATGGAACAGCTATTTAATGGAATATTATATCTAGCTACAATAATTAGTATTGCTGTTCATTACTGATGGACAGAGAGTTGTCCACAATAGATTACTGAATTAAAATAAGGTCACAACCAGCAAGTATAGTATGACCTTGTTTTCCAAAAATGGTACATGTGAGTATAATATACATTCTGAAAAATACCTGGAGAGTTGCTCAATAAAATGGTACAAGTTACGACTGAAAAATATGGTGTATGTTTAAATTTTTTAAAAAATTACAGTAAGAGACACACTGTCAATCCTTTTCAAAATAATCCCCTTTACTTCAAACACACTTCTCCCATCATTCTTGCTACTTTCTGAAGTAGTGCTGGAAATCCTCTTCCCCAAGTGTCTTTAGTTGTGCCGTAGTGACTGCCTCAATATCTTGAACTGATTCAAAACATTTACCTTTCATGATCATTGTGACTTTGGGGAAGAGCCAAGGACACACACAGTACCGGATCTAGTGAATGAGGCCACATCATGTTTTTATGAGGCTGCCTTCTATTGGATGGCACTGGTTAGCAACATTCCCTGTATTTTTGATCCTCTCTCATAAAGACACAAAAGAGGACTTCCAGAACCGCTTTAGAAAGTGACAAGAAGGGCTGGGGATTTCGCTCAGTAGCGCCTCATCTGCCTCACAAGTGCAAGGTCCTGAGTTCGATCCTCAGTACTAAAAAAAAAAAGAAAGTGACAAGAATGATGGGACAAGCGTGTTTGAAGTGAGTTGAAGCGAGGGGCAGTATTTTGAGGAAGATTGATGGCAATGTGTTTTACTGTGATTTTTAAACATTTAAATATTCATCATATTTTTTGATGGGTCCTTGTATTTCAGCAGTATGACTTAAACTGACTTTTCTCATTTTCCTTTATACCTTCAGTCTTTGTAAAATTAGAAAACAATGTGTATGTTTTCATTGGGGTAGAAAAATTCTGGACCACTGGACTAACCTCAAACTGTGACCAGCAGGCCCCATGAATTTTATTCAGTCAGGTTCTGATAAGAACCAGAAGGACAATCATGGCCCAGTTGCTATCAGACAGAGTGTTGGGAATAGGAGAGGGTGGATAAAATGTTTAGGAGACATGTGGGTGGATTACAATTGGAGAATCTAGCAGACCCATAAGCTTAAGTTCCATTTCACTTTCTGTTGTCTCCAGAATCACAATGAAGCTAAACAATTTAGGGACATCAGTTGGGTTCTAGGTAATATTAAGGTGAATTTTTAAATATTCAACTTACATTGAGGATTTTGGAGCTAACCTTCTACTCAATAAAATTTGTATTCATGTTTTCTTTTTTGGTACCGGGGATCGAACTTGGGTCCTTGAGCTTTCGAGGCAAGCAGTGGAACCACTGAGCTAAATCCCCGGCCCATATTCATGTTTTCTTTATGCAATACAAGTTTAAAATAAGTTCTGTTTTCAAAAATAGGCAATATAAGAAAAGACGTAAAAAACATTTGTCCTAGTCTCACCAAAGCCAGAGTGTCATCTCTACAATTCCTGAGCAGGGTCCATTGAGTGGCTGCTTATACCCTTCCAATGACAAGATGGAGTCCCCATCAAGGTACATATCATGGTCCCTCCACAGTCAGAGAGCCTGCTTCAGTAGAATTCTTGATAAATGCCCAAAGATACTCAGATACCACTCTAGTACTGAGATTATTTTCTCCTTCTACAGAAAGGGAAACTGAGTTACTCTAGGTCAAGAGACATACACATAGGCATTTCAGATCTTAGTTTGAAATGGGACTATCAATTCAAAATTCACTTCTGAGTCCACTATTTTTTCTTTTTCTTACTTGAAAAATGAGTATACTCGGAGGCTTGCCCACAGCTTTCCAAGGGCCAACCTAACTCTCCTTCCCCACCAAATAGCATAGGATCTTTGAGGTTTTAAGCTTGTAAGTACCCAAAGGCAACAAAGTTTATTTTTCTAGCTTAAAACATTATTGGAAGATCTAAGTTCTTTTAATAGGCACATCCCTTCTATAGCACCAAAATAGTAGTGACCATGACTCCTTTTTCTAACACTCTTTATTACCCTATAAGTAATCTCTGTCAAGAAAACATTACTGCTATAGTCAACACTTTTAAGTTGCTCTTTGTCTCATGGAAATGGTGATGACAAAAGACCACGTATTGGGCCGGGGATTTAGCTCAGTGGTTTCGCTGCCTGCTATGCAAGCGCAAGGACCCGAGTTCGATCTCTGGTACCAAAAAAAAAAAAAAAAGATCATGTATTTGTTGCCTTAACATCACAAGAGGTTTTGATAGTGTGTACACAGGATTTAAGTACATCTTTTGGAGACTCGTAGGCTTGGGGGTAACCCCTGGTTACACTAGTTGGGTGGCCCGAGTTGCTCAGAAATGTTGAATAGAAGCATAGGTATGTGAACATTAGGAAGGTCTTTCCAAGCCATTCTCCCAAAGTAGCAACTTTTCAGAAAATGTTTAAGTTAAATGCTGATGTTCTGGGACTCCCTTCTCCCTGCCATAACAATCAGGCAACAATGACCCAGGCCCCTCTTCAACACCCCACTCTGTGTTGTTATAACTCAGCTCTACCTTTGTCTCCAAACTTTTACCCTTTCTTGTATCTGCTGTTGACCCCATAGCTGCCTGGAAACCTACCTTCCTCAATCCTTGTCCTTGATCTCTTCTTGTCCAGTGCCAGTCTGAGTCTTCAGGAGCAGATCTGGCTATAGAGACAGGGAGGGACAGAAGAAAACAGGGGCACACAGGCTGTGGCAACATCCTAGACCCAATCTCAGCTCTTCACAAGAGTCCTCTCCTCTGCTACTATGCCCCTACACCTATACATAGAGGCCCAGTCCAGTTCCTGAGTCAAAATACCAAGGAAGTGAATCTGATGGCTCATATCCTCTTGCTTAAATGCAGATACAGATTATTTCAATCCTTTGTGACTCCACTATTACCATCAATGCATTACTTTATCTTCCTTTATGTGGTTTACTAGAGTGACCATAACTTAAGGGAAAGGGGTCCCAGCATCCCAAGAGTCAATTGAACATGGCTCACAGAAAGGAAGTCAGTGAAGAAGAGTTCACAGTGGGGCAAGATTAGGAACCTAGGAGTTTCCTTAGGATTAATGTTCTAAAATCCAAGCAACTATCTTCTATGTGAACTTTCAGCTAATCCATTTGTACAGTAGAAGATTTCTATGTGGATAAGGAGGTGCCTGGTCACTGCCTAGGTTCTTGTTAGCTTTCAGAATGTGCATCAGGAAGCATCAGAGTTGGCCATAGGAAAGTAAAACCAAATCAAACTATCAATTTGGTAATCCCTACAACTGGTAATAGTTATAGAAATACATCACACAATTTAGAGCTTTTTCTTACTTTCTCCCTTCTCCTCACTCAGTATTATCCATTAGTTAATTTGATCATTCATTCATTCATTCATTCAACTAATATTTATCTATATTCATGGCTCAATTTTTCACCTATAGAGAGATGACTCTCAAATGTTTATCTCCAACCCAGATCTCTTCACTGAGCTCCAGTTTCTTGTATCTTCCTTATATATTTTCTCACTGTCTCAAAGGCAACTCAAATTCAACATTTCCAAGGTCAAGTTAATAATCAGCCCCACCCCACTCCCATTCTGGGGAAGGGTTTGTTGGGGATTGAAGCCAGGGCCTTAAGCATGTGAGGCAAGTGCTCTGCCACTGAGCTACAACCCCAGACCATCATTCCCTCCCTTTCATCCCCATTCTTGACACCCTATTGCAAACAACCAGCATGTTCCACCAGGACAATCACATCTGCCTCCTAGCAAGCCTCCTTCACTAACCCCCAGATTAATTTTCTATGCTGTAGCTAGAGTGGTCTTTCCAACAAGTAAATCTCAATACTTTACCCTCCTTTTTGTTTGAAACGGGTCAGTGACTTCCCTTTGCTCTTAGAATGCAGACAAAAGCCCCACTGTAGGCTGATTCCTGAATCTCCATATCTATACCACACAAACCCTCCCTCCTTTGCAGTCTCTCACACATGCTGCATACATGCTGGTTTCTCTTTCTGGAATGCTCTCCGCATACCAGGGCCTCCTCTGCCTTCAAGTGGTTGGACACCTCTTCAGCAAAGGCCCAGAACATATGTTCCACTCTCTTGCAATGCTCTTTAGTGGCCCCCTTCAATGTGTCCCTTTTTTGAGGGAAGGCTCAGGACTGTAACTTGTTATTTCCTCTGGGCTTCTTTCATCCATGGTTGTTCCTCCTACAGACTGAAAGTTTTTTGTGGGCAGGGGACATGTTTGGTTGGTTTACCACAGGTATTCATTAAGTAATTATTGAATAAAGGAAGAGCAGAGGAAGAGGAATTATTTCCATACTCTCTCAATACTGTTTGTTCTTTAGATTTCCACTTTTGAAACTTTTCTTTAATGCTGCTCCCTTAGGCTAGCAGATTCTTCTCCCTCTTGCCAGTGAAAACTCTTTTTCTCATTCAAAACACCACTGTTCTACGTCTGTTCTTCATTTCTGATACTGAGTCTGGTCTGGATTAAGGTAATCTATATACACAGTCACCTTTGAGGCAGGGTCTATGTCTTATTCTTTTCTACATCCCACTACCACCTCTGTTGCCAACCTTAGAGCTCAGGTTAGTGCGTTCTACAAGTGTATTGGAAAGAACTAAATTCAGTGGTGCCTCTGATAATAAGGCTGGAGTCATGAGAAAAGGATGTTTTCCCCCTAGAGTTAGGGGATGCCACTACTGCACAGTGTCATCTTATTTATGACTTTATTGAAGCACCCCTGCCAGTTCTGCTAGACTCCTTCCTAAAAGAAGCTAAACAGATGCAACTCCTACCTTCTGATATCTCACTATCTAAAAGAGAACAATAATAAGGCAAACACTTAAATGTGAGTAATACAGGGAGTAAGTAATGTATTGCATGGGTTTAATGAACAAAGTAGAGGGAGTTAGATATAATGGAGCGCCCATCACCTCCTCTTCACTAAATCAGGGAAACTATCTATCTTCACTTAATTCTATTGACTTAACACTAGCCTAAAGAAACTTGTTTCAGTTTACCCATCTGTCTCATGGTTGCCACAATACAATTTTCAAATGAAATTTCTAAATGCAGACCACACACAATATTTCAGTGGACCTAACATTGATTTATGTTTGGACTAGGGGAAGGGAGACATTCTGAAGAAAGATGCTTTACCAGCACTTCTGCTGCCAGCCTTTGCTTGCTCTGCTATAGAAGCATGCAAGTTTAGTGTCTCAATTACTGCTGGATTTGGCCAATTCAAGAGTTATATCATCTCTGATATACCAAATAAGCATGAAAGTCAAAACTGTGATTTCTAAGACAACCATGGTGATAGAATATAAATTAAAAGGCCCTTGCTTGCTTAGCCATCATCCTGAAAACATCAGAATGCAATTTGTTGGACAGATTCTATAATCTGCAGATGAAGGCAGTTATAGGGCTCAAGTTTATCCAGAGTTAACAAGCCCTAATAGTCTAGTTCAGCTCAGACATAACAAACGGAAATGGCTTTAAATTATCCTTCCCTAGAGACATGATTTCATAAGAGAACAAACTCTATATGCTCACAGAGAGATTTCCAATGTAAACATGTGGTGGAAGCTAAAAGCTGCAGCCGGGTTTCAAGCCTGGATACGCCAATGGCAGAGTATTTGATTTCAAAGACACCGATTTCCTCCCAGTGCAATAGCATGTATGCTTTTTTTGCTGACTACACTTTGAACTACAGAATACACACAATCTTGCATATATGTGTAATTTTATAGTTTTATTTCTAGCCTGGATATTAATAGATTTTACTTGGCCTTTCCATGTGTAAGTGTGACTGGAATACAGATGCTTAAGGGATAGGGTTGCTTGTGGAAAACACAAGGCTCACTCATCACCTGAGCTGTCTGAAATGTAGGCTTTAAGGCTTTAGAAAACGCAAGGTGAAGAACTTGGCTCTTCCATGTTTAAGCAGGAAATCAACCCAGCTCCCTCTCACTATGAAAAACGTAGGAAGAGGAGTAATCCAAAATACTCCTCTATCCTATACAGAAGACACAATATCCTAGCGTGTCCCTTTTGGGGTGATCAGCTCCAAGAAGCTTAAGATCAAGATTTTACAGGGGCAATCAATCAGTCATTGGCCATTTGGCTTCTGTGCCAAGTGAGATCTCTCTCCTGATTTTATGTGGCCCATGAATTAACAGCTTTTACACTTTCAAATCATTGAAAAAAAATTTGTGACATGTGCAAACTATATAAAATTCAAATTTCATTGTTCATAAATAAAGTTTAATGAGAACACAGCCATACTCATTTGTTTGTGTACTGTCTATGGCAGTTTCTATACCATAATGACAGAGCTGAGTAGCTGCAACAAAGACTATATGACCTGCAAAACTTAAAATATTTGTTATCTGATCCTTTACAGAGAAGATACAAACTACAAAATGAAGGCAATGTTAAATCTTCAATTCTATTCTTTGTTTTTCAGCAAACCTATGCATTATGTGTAGGAGCTCAGAACAAGTGGGTAAATATCCTTGTGTTTGTACCAGAATCCACTTATCCAAAGTTGACACAAATGGAGGACTATGCAGCTGCCAGGACCCTGAGTTCTTATGAATATGCTCAGGAGTTTGCACTAACTTAATCTACTGAGGGAATTCAAGCACAAGAGTAACACCATCATGTTGTTATGTTAAAAAGGACACTTTGGCCATGGTGGAAAAGAGGGAATGAAGGACCACAGAAGGGAAGTGCTGGACCAATTCAGGTATGAGAAATTGGAAATATGAATTTAGATGCCAGATGTAGGGCTGGATATGAAAGGTATCAAGGAAGAAATCTGGATGACTGAGTGGATGGGGAAAGGGCAGCAGATGATAGAAGAGGAAGTTAAACTGAATCGTAGGTTTTTGGTTTGGTAACTGGCTAACTAGAAGTACTACTCATCATGAGAAAGAATAGAGGAGGAGGAATAAAATCTTTTTTCTTAAAAACAACCTTGAAGAGGAATGAGTGGCTTTTTTATTGTATTCAAGGCTAGGAAACCATATGAAATGAAGTTGTACTTCAGAGTGCCTTGGGAAATTCTGTCCTTGTGGCTTCTGAATATCATGGTGAGATTACCAGGTCAAAGATGAAGTCACTTTAAATCCATTTTGGAACAAAATGGAATATAAATAAATAAATACAGAATGCCAATATATTTAGTTTTTAATCTGTTGACTGCACATATCCAAAGATAAATGGAGGATCTTTCTGAAACCCTTTTGTGATGTTTCAAGGAAGAATGAAATTATATACAAATTCTACAACTGATTTCTGAACATCTCAAAAGAGACAGAAAGGGGGAAATATACAATGTTAGTCTGGGCAGTGATTTTTTTTTTTACTCCAAATGTGTAGGCAGTAGAAGCAAAAATAGACAAATGAGATTATATCAAAATAAAAAGCTTCTATGCAACAAGGGAAACAATCAGCAGAGAGAAGAGACAATCTATAGCTTGAGAGAAAATATTTGCAAGGCGCATATCTGTTGAGAGGTTAATATCCAAAATACATATAGAACTCAAACAATTCTACAAAAGAAAATAAACAACCCAATTTAAAAATAGAAAAGGGACTTGATTAGATATTCTTTATAAGAAGACATAGAAATGGAAAACCAATACATAAAAAACTC